GAAGAAACTCTCCTAGACTTCAGATAGAGTCAAAGAGGCGTAGAGAGAACTCTGAAGTCCCCAGCATCGACATATAAAACGTTATCGACGCACATGGTTCATTCAATTCTCCTTCTTGCATTCCATCATACCCTTAAGTCTCGCACATTCACAACGCCTGTTCAAGACTTGCCATCCGTACCTCATCAACATCCCAACACACTCACCAAGCCAGCATAGAATTTGTCCCCTGTCGCATCCTCCCTCCCAATGGATTCTCACGATGCAAAGCCTCTTATCATCAACAAGGGAACCCCGGGGATTTCCTACTTCACCCCCGCTCAATCGCCTCCTTCAGGAACAGCCAAGGATCCCCAGTCTGATGGCAGTGCAATCCCAAAGCTCTTCCAACCCCTGACCATTCGTGGAGTTACTTTCCAGAACCGCATTTTCCTCTCGCCGATGTGCCAGTATTCCGCTCAGAATGGCTACCTGACTGACTGGCATTTGACTCACCTTGGTGGCATGATCCAGCGAGGACCTGGCCTCACATTCATCGAAGCAACCTCGGTCACTCCTGAAGGTCGAATCACTCCAGAAGACAGTGGGCTTTGGGAAGATGGTCAGATGGGCCCTTTGAAGAGAATCGTCGAGTTTGCGCACAGTCAAAGTCAGAAGATCGGGATCCAGCTGGGCCACGCAGGTCGTAAGGCCAGCACAGTTGCTCCTTGGCTGAGTCGAGGTGACACTGCCCAGAAGGAAGCTGGCGGCTGGCCTACAGAGACGCTTGCCCCGAGCGCCATTGCCTTCCAGGACACCTATCCCAATCCCAATGCTCTTACGCTTGAGGGAATCGAAAGAATCAAGAACGCGTTTGTGGACGCTGTCAAGAGATCCCTCCAAGTTGGATTTGATGTCATTGAGATCCACGGTGCCCACGGCTATCTCATTCACTCGTTCCTGAGCCCAGTCAGCAACAAGCGAACTGATCAGTATGGCGGATCCTTCGAAAACCGGACACGTCTGGCTCGAGAACTCGTTGAGGCGACAAGGGCCGTCATTCCCAAGGACATGCCTCTCTTCTTCCGGATCAGCGCCGACGACTGGCTGAAGGGTCAAGACGAATTCCCAGAGAGCTGGACAGTTGAGGACACAGCCAAGCTGGCTCCAATTTTGGCCGATCTGGGCGTGGATTTTCTCGATACCAGCTCAGGCGGCATCCACCCTGCTCAAAAAATTGTCGGCGGACCGGGATACCAAGCTCCGTTTGCACTGGCAGTGAAGAAAGCAGTGGGGGATTCTCTGCTTGTTGGAACTGTTGGATCCATCACAACGGGCACTCTGGCACAGGAACTTCTAGACCAGGGCCTGGACGCCGCTTTTGTTGGACGGTATTTCCAGAAGAACCCCGGCCTGGTTTGGACTTTCGCAGAGGATCTTGGTGTTGAGATTCACGTTGCAAACCAGATCTCATGGGGCTTCCACGGCAGGGCGGGTGGAAAAGGCAAGCACGAGACCAGAGCAACCCGGTAAAGCAGAATGGCGGTTCCTTGAAGCGAAAGTACCTAGGTTGTGTCTACAGTTGTTCTCGGGGGAGTAGAAGAGAGAAATCTGTCAGTAAGACGGATATTTTTCATTTTAAATATAGAATCCAAGTCCATTCCTACATGTACCATTACGAACTCCAGCAGGAACTGCGGAGATTGTTTGCCAACCAGAGCTAGAAAATGATGCAACCCCAACGCTCAAACTACTGCACCTAAATGAACGGGCACACGGGTTCCTGCATGAAAACGATCGCCCAGGGGAATCGGAGGGCGAATCAGCTGAGTTCACAGGTCAGGAGAGTGTGTTTGGGGTTGCTGGACAGGGGCGTAGGATTGGCAGGAGGCTAGCCACATCGAGGGCCCCTAGACGCCTAGCGCAGTTTGATGTTTTGGAGGCCAAGCAGGGCGGGTAAGCAAGGCCCCGGGCTCACATTGGCACCGAGGCTTGCAACAGCTCCTGTTCCATTAAGCATTCCGGTAGTAGGTCTGCCGCACCCTCTCCCCATCTACAACAACTCTTCGTCCTATTCACCGACCCGCCCTTCACTTCAGATTTCCTGATTCAAGCCATTCCTTAGCATTGTCGTATCAAGTCTCTCGTTCAGAATTCACGTCCTTATTTCTCGGCTCTTTTTGTGTCATTATTCTCCTGTTCCACGCTCGACCCACGTTCGTTCTTTGTGTTATTCCGAGCCTTCCCCCTTGTCTCGTCCTTGCTGTACGCTTTGTCCACCTTGACGGACGACAAGCAAAATCAGCAGGCGGTCAATTCTTCCTGACGCCTCTCATCTCTTTCGCTCAATCGTGACACGGCTCCCTCCTCGACGGCGGAAGTCAGTCCGTGAATATTGAGACGAGGTGGTTTCCGTCACTGCTTTGATGAACGGGCGGACTCGACAGCGATGCAATAAACACACTACAAAACAAAGGGTTCAATCTCTGAGGCAATTGAGCTGGGCTCTTGTTACACCTGGCCTTCGGCTGCACCGCGTCTGAGACAGCAACGTACAACAGCCTCAGAAACAGGCATACAATCACTCGTGTTCGGATGCCCCCTTTCACGAACTATTGGTAAGCCGCTGCCAGGTCGCAGCGCTTTGGACGATCTTTACACAATACACATACCACATTCACCATGGGGTGTTGCGGAGGCGAACGAGAAAAGTTCGGGAATCTGAGCGCTGAGCAGAAATGGGATTACATTGTACGCATACCCGACGTGGGAGAAGCCTGCATGGACTAACACATCACAGAACCTTGATGACTTCAAATCTTCCTCATGCTGGACTCCTTTTGCCTACGGCTACCTTATTTTGATGCTTATTGTCTCGATATCCGTCTACGCCGTCGATACATTCACCGCTATCAACCTCCTCGCCTTTGACAGATGGGCTGGTCAGATCAAACCCGAGATTCCACTCAACATCTCTCGATGGATATTTGCTGGATGTATCATTCTATCGTTTGTTCTACTCATCTACCGATGGATACGTGCAGTCAGAGTCATGCGACAAGGCGGAATTGCAAAAAGCTACTTGGACCCATTGGCAGTCCGAATTCAGTCGATGCGATGGGGAAAAGCAAGAGGTTGGAAGCGTTTCTTGGTCTTTGCCGAGTTGACAAAGAGTCGAAAAGGAGCCGACTACGTTGCCCTGTTTGCATATTTCTCTTTCGAAGCTTGGCTCCGTATTGTCTTTGCAGAAGGACCACGGCAAGTGGTCAACGCCATCACACTGTATTCAGTGTTGAGGCTCAAGTTGGTCCCAGAGGGCGAGCATGCTCCGTCCGATGGTCACTCTCCGGTTGTCCAATTCTTTGTCAATGTTGGAATTCTGGCCGATTCCAATCACTTGCAGGCCGTTATTCTATTCGGCATGCTGTGGACCTTGGTGATATGGGTCATTTCCGTCATTGGTCTGATCATTTCAGTCATTCTCTATCTCGTTTTTCTTTGGCACCACATTCCAACTGAGGATGGGGGTCTAACAGGCTACTGCCGTAACAAGATTAATCGACGGATGGAGAGGGTTGTCAAGATCAAGGTTGACAAAGCACTCAAGAAAGAGAATGCACTGCGGGCTCGAGCAGAAGCCAGGGCGGCGCGCGAAGGAACGGATATAAAGAAACAACCGACCTTGCCAAATATCCTAGGCGCCGATTCGGACTCACTTCCTCCACTGTCGCGGCAAACCACAATGACAACCCTCCCAGAATATACCTCGCGCCCGGCCACAAGCAGGGGCAGTGACGACGCCGTTCCAACCCTACCCGATATTGCTCCTCGTCCTCCGATGCCTACTCGTACCGTTACTCATGGATCGGCAGCGTCGTGGTCAAGCTACACCTCGAACGCTCCATTGATGAGCTCGGCGGCGGACATGGGGTTTGCGGCTGATCGAGTTCAGACTCCAGCGTCCGATACGATCAGTCCATGGTACGGTAGACCAGCACCAAACCGTAGCATATCGAACCTTTCGCAGCCTCCACAACGGTCTATCAGTCCTGCACTTCCACGACCGGGTACAGCACAGAGTGATAGGAATGGTCCTGGCGCGTACCAAATGGATTCTCTCCCACGACCAGGAACCAGCATGTCTAACAATGGACGTCCCAGATATCCGTTGGAAAATAGCAGCGCTCTCCCCTACCCAGACGATAGAAGCTCAACGCCATCGAGCAAGCCACCATCATGGTCAGGACCAACCTTCGACCACCAAATTGACGCCTCGGGTCGCCGTACGCCTGGAGGTGCCATTGGACCATCATTCCCTGTTATTCCAGAGGAGAGGGGGCGACAATCACCTTTGCCAGGACCTCAATTCCGATCACACACTCCCAATCAAGGACCCCCAGAAACATTCTTCGCACCGAACGGTGGAGGTCCGATCAGAACTGTGACACCAACCGGAGGCCCAACATTGCCTCGATTACAGCCTTCAAGCTCTGCCGGTTATATTCCCTACTCCGGGGAGCGATCCATGACTCCAATGTCTTCAATTCCTCCCAGCGCCACCATTCGTAGTGTCACCGAGCCAACCAGGACATACACCCCTTTTACATCACAGCCGGGCTTTCCCAGTGGTGCACGAGAGAGGCCGATTCCACAGAGACAGGGAAGCCAGGGAGTAGATGACATATTGGATCATTATTGAGGAGTTGACCCTTCTGAGAATGGAGGCGGCTTCTTTGCTCGCGGTGACGACACAGTAACGATGATTAATAGCTAGATCCTGTAACACAAAATGGCACATTTTTGCTTAACTAGTTTCTTCCAGGCCTCGCAATGGGGCAGGGGAAGTGGTCTGATAATAGACTCCTCATCAAGTGACATTGCCGACTTTGCTTGCCCAGGTAATGTGTCTTTCGAAGTCTCCGATTGGTCAATGCTCAATGCTCATTTTGGTGTACTTCAAATATTAATCCAGACTTTCCTATTGTACCATACAGAGTGCCAGACAGTCCCAAAGCATCGCCATGCTGCCTGGGTCTGCTTTCTCAAAGACTCTTCGTGAAGTCGCACCGGGCTTGTCGAAGAGGTTCTTCGAATGCAGTGGTCGTAATCATGCTGCCCAGCTTAGCAAGCTTCAACCCAAATCCGCGCGTACCTCGACAGTACAACCATCGTCGGCGAGGATCAGCCAGACCCGGAACTTGAGCACGCGCTGTGGTGCATCAATACGAAACTGCAGTCTCCCACGGGCCAATTCCCCTTCCTGCAACCTCAAGAACGCCTCTTTTGCACCTGCGATTGTTCGAGGATTCTCTGAATCTGCGCACGCGAGATCCACGAGCATTGCCGATAACGCCACAGACCCAACTGAAAGAAGAAAGGATGAGGAAAAGACCGGAAATGAGAGCAAGAGCAGGAATTTCTTCCCAGATACTTCCTCAAACACTGTGGCCTATTGGCTTCTCGGCAGCGCTGCCAGTGTGTTTGGGATCGTGGTGTTTGGAGGATTGACAAGACTCACAGAGTCCGGGTATGTGATACCAACTCCTACAACTCTTGACGCTTTCGAGCAATGGAGTCGTTCTTGTGCGAGGAACCTGCTGACTCGAGTTTTCAAACCAGTCTAAGTATCACAGAATGGAAACCCGTCACTGGCTCCCTTCCTCCCATGTCTGAGGCAGATTGGGAGTCGGAATTTGCCAAATATCGTTCGAGTCCCGAGTTTCACATGCTGAATTCACGAATGACGCTTGAAGAATTCAAATCAATTTACTGGATGGAATGGATCCATCGGCTCTGGGGTCGATTCATCGGGCTCTCCTTCGTTTTGCCGGCGGCGTATTTCGTCGCGCGGAAGAAAGTCTCCCGTTCCATGGCAACGAGATTACTCGGCATAGCAGGTTTAATTGGGTTCCAGGGCTTCCTCGGCTGGTGGATGGTGAAGTCGGGATTGAAAGATGACCTATTCGCACCCGGCTCGCATCCGCGTGTCTCGCAGTACAGATTGACCGCACATTTGGGTGCGGCTTTTGTCTGCTACCTGGCAATGCTTTGGAATGGTCTTGACATCCTCCGAACGAACAAAATCTTACGCATGTCCTCCGATGGTGCGAGTGCGACGCTCAAAAGCTTGGGAAACCCGGCGTTGAAGCCCTTCAAGCGCTATGTGTCCCTCCTCGCAGGTTTGATCTTCATTACAGCAATGTCCGGAGGCCTGGTCGCAGGTCTTGACGCAGGCTTGATCTACAACGAATTTCCCTACATGGGGCTGGGCCTAACGCCCCCGAAGAGCGAGCTGTGGGACAAGTTCTACTGTCGGGCACCCGACCACAGTGATCTTTGGTGGCGCAACCTGCTCGAAAACCCTAGCTTGGTTCAGCTTGACCACCGGATTCTCGCGACGACCACCTTCACTGCAGTCATGGCGCTATGGGCGTTCTCTCGTTCAGGAGCAGTGCAGAAAATCTTACCGAGAGCAGCACAGAAAGGTGTTCATGGTGTTGTTGGCTTTGCGTGCTTGCAGGTCATCCTGGGCATTTCCACGCTATTATACCTAGTACCCACTGGGCTAGCAAGCGCACATCAGGCAGGGAGTCTGGCATTGTTGACCTGGACGATTGTGTTGGGAAGTCGAGTCTGGTTCCCCACCCAAGCTGCGCGCATTTTGGCTCAGCGAACCCAGGTAAATCTTGCTGGTAGCGGTGCTGAAGTGGCGCACAGGGCGGCTATGATGTCGTCGGCAGCGAAGGCAAAGCCTGTGATGCCTGGTAGCCCTGCTGCTCTGGCTGCAATTGGTTGCATGCCCATTGTCACAGCCATAGGTCTTGGACTTTCTTCGAAGTCGGAGGCTGATGTTGCGAGGCAGCTTTCCGCTCATATGACTGCGCATCGGGCAGTCTCAGGGGTCGAACAAATGCGGTCTTCGTCGGTGCCGAAGGCCTCATAGCGAAAATCACTGGTGCGAACCTCACAATCTTCACTCTTGACTACCTTTGTTGTATTACTACATTAGATGGTGAATGATCATTCCGCATGTTTCAACCACTTGTCCCGATCTCAGCACAAAATATCACGTTTGACCACGTTTGACCATGTCAGATGAGCTTCAAAAGGGTTCTGGTGGTCCTCTGTTACCAGGCAGGTCCAACGCTGCAAGCTTTACAAGCTGCCAGCTCCACTAATCCGTGACCACCAAGCTGTCAACATTGCGAACTGTCTATACAATGTACCAACAACACCCAGTCACGCGGTGTATTTCGAGACCTGCCGTTGGCAGACGGTCTTGGGTACCGCATACTACCTGCAGAGGTGGACACGCACCAATCACGTGGGAGCCACGGTGTCGTCTTCTCGTCTTCTTATCAACTTGCCTGTATCAAGTACTATGGCCATCAGAGTTGGGTTGTTAAATACCGCGTTATCGACGGCTACCGCAGAGGCTTGGACATCTGTCACTAGCCACTCCGGACACGACTTTCGCTGGCCGCGAGGGATAACAGCAACAAGCATCTCTTTGCGAGGAGAAAATCAAACCGTCCACACAGCTCTTCGACTGCCAAAACGACCCCCGAAATGTCTTAGACATGTCTCGGTTACGCAAGCATTATCTTTCCGACGCTCGATCGTGATGGGCTCTTCTAAGGTCATCAACCGTCAGCGACGTGGCCGGGTTGACCTTTGATGAATCCTTCGATCCGTGGTTCCCAAAGGCATGTACGAGGTATTATTGTGGAGGTGCGCGGTGTTGGCGCGACATCCCTCTTCCCTTGCAGCAACTCGGAAAAAAAAAACGGAGTTCCGCCGGGTTTGATTGACTGATGACCAGAACCAAGTCCGTAGCTGGGTTAGGGGGTTGGTTGGGCCCTGATCAGTACCTACACATGGCTTTTTGACGCAGGGCTGGGGCGGGAAGGTGGAGGACGAGAGGCAAGCAAACAATACTCGTAAGGCATAGGGCATAAGGCATAGTTCGTGTACATACATGTACATAGCAAACAGTAAATGAAACAAGATCAGTCCGGAACTACGTAGGTCAAGCAGATCATTTTTACAGTACCGAGTAAAGCAAGGGCCAAAACAGAAGGGGCCCTCCTTTGATAAGGTCACCAAATACTTACTCCCTCCCCTACTCTCGTCGTCGGTAGGAATACGGAGTAAATATGTATGTACGAGGGATTCGAGACATACACACATACATGGCTACCTGCCTACCTAGGTACTTTCCTCCTTAGGTGGGTGGGTAGGTGGGTAGATAACATACCCGGCAGGACGCTGGTCCTCCTCCGGGATTTCCGGGAAATGGAGAACTGACTGACCGGGCTGACCGTGCCAGTCCACTATTACTACATAGGTACTCGGTACTTGGTGGTACCTCCTCGCAGTTCGTGCGAGTATATTCAAGCACGAGGTACGAGGTGCAAGATTGTTGACTACAGGGGCACGAGTGGGTGACATACATATATGTGTGGAGAAGAAGAACAGTAAATTCCTGTTTCACCACCGGAATCTCGACGCCTGAGGGTCTCCTATCTCACGTGATCTCGCGCCGCTTTTGCTCAGGCGTGGCAGGCTGGCAGGCTAGCCCGCGCCCGGCTCAATGTCGGCTCAATGTCGGCCCATGGCTGTTTGGGCCAGCTCACCATGCTGACGACATTGGGCAGTGGCCCAAAGGTCGTCCCTCCACTACCGAGTAGACCGTCGGGTTTCACGAGGGCCCAAAGGCACCACGACATATTCCCTCCTTGACCGTGCGAGAGCGAGTCGGGCTCTATGACCGTGATGGCCTCTGTCAGGGATGCATATGTAGATAGTCAGAGTCCAGCGACGTTAGTAGTCAACTCTCGAGGATAGGTTGCAAAAATAGACCCGTACTCGTGATGGAGTGACATGTCTGATCCTGGCATTTCACTTCTGCCTTTGTCTTCCAATGCCACGATACACATACAGCACCCTAGCAAAAATATCCGTCCACTTCCCATTTACCACCAAAATCCCTGACTTTCACATCGCCATAACTTTTAAATTGATAAGGTAGCTATACTTTTTTCAGCTAGGAGATTAAAGCGTATATCTAATAGTACTATTATATCTCTTTATAACTTTAGAATACTTATCGAGACTCAAGTAGCCTATAATTAAAGAAAAAAGACACGGAAAATTATAGTTTTTATATGAGATTTTACGATCTATTATATTCTAAGCTAGACTACGCAGCGAAAATAGGATATAATATGATAATTTTATAGATTATATGAAATCTATATATTATCTATACTATACTAAAATTTAGCAGTACATTACTGTATAAGTTCGTGGAAAAAAACGAGGTCGAAAATTGCTACTTTTGGTGTAAATTGGGGGGTGGACGGATACTTTTACTAGGGTGCTGTAGGCCGCGTCAGTAGGGTGTTGGATGTGAGGCACTCATGCAGGCTGCCCTGAAATCCCATGGCTGTCACCTTTTTCCCAACTACTTTTCTTCTCAGAAGCAAAAGCATTTGCAGCAAGGGCTTGATTCTATCCTTTCTGGTGTCGCTTCCAACTTCCTGCGGAGACCTGTTATAACCTTCAGCCCATCTACCCTTATAACAAGGCCGGTCCAGTTTGGCACGTGCAAAGATGGTTACTCTAACCACCAGGTCTGTCTCACTTTCCATGCAGAGGCGATGGGAGACCCACGGTAGGGCGCGTTGCTTCACGACAAAACAACGTGAAAGCTGCTGAAACTTCAAAGCACGACCAAGCACCATATTTTGAAGACGGTCACTAAGGACCGATCTTTTCTGCTCGCCATTTGGCAAGCTGGTGCTCTGCCCGATAGGCATTATGCCCAACACTTTCTTAACCCACTCGATACGCCCGCTCAGAAGACCGCCAAAACCTCCGCCAGATGGGTGACCGACGATGCTCCACAGAAGATTCATAAGTATGATATACACTTTTCAATGCGTCCGATCCATATAGTCTCTCCTCGGCTGTGCTCACAGTGGATTCTCAAAGCGCGCCCATACTCCTACCAATAAAACCAGTATGCCAACAATCTTGAGCGCCGAGATCAAGGATCGGACCGTGTCATTTGGTGATTGGAGTAACTGCGAAAGGAGCCATGAAAATAAGATCATCGGGCGGGGTGCACCTTCTCCCTCTTGTCGCCACATAAAAAAAACAGCAGCGACGATCACTGCACAAATAATAAATGAACACGGAAACCGCTGTATATCCTTCCAAACGAGCAACATCCGGTTTGTTGCAGGTTGCTCAGACGATCTGCCTTCCTCCGCAGCCTTGGCTGTCAAGTGTCCGAACTGATCGGGAAATGTGGCGTCCGTGGGCTTTGTCTGGACCCCTGACGCGTCAAAAAAGTTGCTCAAAGGTATCTTTCCTTGGTCTGATGTTGTCCCTCGATCCTCTGATATCTGGGTTTGCGACACCGCATCGTTGTTCGAGTCCTCGTCTTCGCCACTAAGGTCGACAGTTGCAGCAGGTCGGGGCGGAAGTGAACTGTGCACATCCGGAGGCTTGGCTATGGCCCTGCCGTTGGCCTGAGGTTCGATGCCTGCGAGCGCCGATAAAGGTCAGTTCAATGGCAGTGGAGGGAAGTACTGGGGCAGACTCGCCTTGGAAGTCGGATTGACCATTCATGACGCTCATGAGATCTTCCCCAGCGATCATATCCGGGCACCGAGTATTATCTGTGACATACACCCGCTGATTGATCTTCTGTCTAGTCCTTTCCAGCTTGATTTGCACTAACATTTCGCCTATCGCCTTGAGTTTGACGTTCCCGGCGTACAGTGTTACTGTTTCCGTGACCTTCTCGAGCAGAGGCAAAAGGGGAGCCGTTGTCATGATCGAGCGCACAAAGGACCACCGAATCCAAGTATAGGGTATACGATGATCTTCCAGCCGACCGTGACCCGACCAGGTATTGTCCGGAAGCAAAAGTTGAAATCTTGCCCTGTTCTCCCGAACACTCATCGGGCGAGATTGCATCCTTCCAGGCTGCGCCATCTTTTGACTTTGATCCCGCATCGGTTGCGAGGTTGAGTGCGGCATCGTCAATGCCCACAAAACTCTAGCGTGAGTCGGGTTCGCAAGGGAGGCATAGTCTCGAGACCAACGACTTGTGGTTCGATCGGCGGTGAAGGCGATTGGGTTTTGAAGGGCAGCAGAGAGTTTCGGTTCGTCTGGCAACACTAATGTTGGCTGGGTCGCCCAGCAGTGAATTTCGATGTGAACGAAAGGCGGTGACGATGGGTGTGCTGATAACTAGGCAGGATCGGAAATTGGGCAGCGCGCAGCCTGGCAAAAGTTCGAAGCAGGTACCCAGGTCCGCAAGGTTTGTTCCAGGAATAGCCACACGGCTTCAAAAGCAGAGTATGAAAGAGTGGTATGGCAGGATCACAGAATGAACGAGAGCCTTTGACCAACGTCTGAACTGATATCAAGATGGAGTGGTGAATTAGGACGCGGTGACCAGCAGGGTTGAGAAAACACGTCAAATCTCTTATTCGCGGTATTTAACCGGACCTGACGATCGTGCACAGGCGCAGAGGCCAAACCCGAAGACCCAGATTAGCGGACCCCGGAAAATCTTTGACTTCATAGGTACCAATTTAAGCGTACCTAGGCATAAAACGCCTTAGCTCGATACAATATTCAGACGACAGAAGAAAGACAGAAACACCCTCTCCCCTTGACAACCCTTAGTATCCCAAGTCGAGAACATATGCGGGTCCATCATAAGGGACTTTCTTACCCCCGTCGTCCTTATACCACTCATTCTTGACTTTGTCCCACTGCAACCCTTCCTTCTTCCTTTCATTCCTCCATTTGACTAGTTCATCAAGTTGCTTGCCTCGTCGTTCAACATCGCGGTCGTCTTTTCGGTGCGCTTCCTTCTCCTCTGTCGCGGCCAGTTGTTAGTCATGTGGTCTGGGACCGGCGGTGAGTTCCAACGGGACTAACCTTTGCTGTCCTTGCCCCTCGACGTCAGTGGAGCAAGCACATCGAGATCCTTTCCTTTCCAGATCACCAAGCCGCGCTCCATCAGCGACCTGCAGCCGAGGATGACATCAAATTGACTGTTCTGTCGTGCAATCTGGAATTCACATGGTTGTGTGTGGTTCTCAAAGACAGTTGATCCCTTGAGAAGACCTAACGAAGCCACTGGACTGTTGTCGAAGCTGTACCAGCGAGGTTTGCTTTTCTCCCATTTCGCGGGGAGGTTGTTGGCCGATACGATCTTCTCGTTGATCCAGTTATCGATGACTCCGGTGTCAAGCAGGAACACGCCTTTCCATTCTTTCCCTCCTGGAAAAATCAGCTCAGCTTCGATCTGGTTCATTTTGAGCTTTGGTTCATCGGTCAGGAGCATGCGCCTTTGAGGTTGCTGATTGGTCATTGTTCTGCTTGGTAGCGCTCGACTGTCGGAGGCCGATTTATTAGTGCGCGGTCTCTGTTGCTTGCTTTGGCCACGAGCATTTCCTTCAGGTGGATAGCTGTCGTCGACCCTCTCGTCATCCTCATCGTCTGTGGTAAGACTCGGTGTGCTGTTTGCCCCTCTGCGTTGTGCTCCATGCTTCTTAGCATCCAGGTTCTCCTTGTGTAACATACTGGTGGGAACGCCAGTAGCGACATATCCTAGCTTGAGCCAGCGGTCGCGGTCAAGCTCCAGAGCGTCATAAGAGTTATCTTGCCGAGTCATGCTCACGGTGCCTACAAAATAAGGCTGGAACGAAAGTTTGCCTGCTCGTAGGCAGATCAGTAAAGGACTTGCGCCGCATCGCCTTTATCTATATCACGCGACAGAGCCCCGACTGCCCCGCATCTGAACTGTGTCTGCGTTGTCGTAGCGATCCGACTGATGAGGCGACTGTTGGCTGCCCAAACACGTTACACAGCAGCCTTCCGAGCCTGTCGGTGCAGCATAACCACTGCGATTTTGCCCGGCTAGAGCGGTAGCAAAACCGGTGAACATTGCGCGAGCATCAATGCACCTATCTCTGGTCACCCATGCAGTGATGCTACCAATTATCCCTATGCTTGGTGTTACCCACCTCTGGTGAGCGAGCATTTATACAAGTGCCGCTTGGACCTGGTAGCTTTTGCATGGTTTTCGACTTTCAAATTTGGAAACCGACGGCAGAACATGGCTGGCATGCGAGGCTATGATAAGCTCGCGCATCTGATGAGCCACTATCCAGAATACGGCATCGTCCGCCGATTCCGCGAGCTGAACTACAGAAATATCCTCTATCTCCAAGCCGAGTTAGTGCAGCTTGAGGCAGAGCTGCAAAGCGCAACGACGGCAGACGCCCAATCCCAGGATCCTCTCCGCCAACATTATGGCAACCACTTTCCCCTTCTGAGCACCTCTCTGGGAGCCGGCCACGACGTGCAATGGACCACAATGCTCGAAATCCGGGGTAAACTGGAAAAGTACAGTGAGCCTAACGTCACCCTGCCTCTTCATGCTCCAAAGAGCATCCACTTCCCAGGAGTGGTAGCCCAAGTCACTGATCATCGATGTTTAACAAGACCAGTGCCTTCAGGACCAAAAGGCACTCGGCGAACTGGGTAGACCAGCAAAGCACAACCTCACCTTCCTCCGAAGCTGGTTTGAGCGGCGACACATGGGCAACCGCCCGATCATCAGCAGCGACAGACATGTCTGGGACGCGGAGAAAGAGCATGACCTCGTCGTTCTCGAGCCCGCAGGATTCGCAGACGCTCTGAGCGACTGGATCTCAGGCCACTGTGTGCCCCTTTACCATCGAACCATCGGTAAACACCACAAAGCCACCGTCGACTGGGACCCGGCATCGGAGATGTCGTGGTATTCCTCGTCTGGAATCCAGGCGGCCGTCGATGTCGTCGCGACCATTATCTCCTGCCTTTTCCCCGTTGGAGCCACCGTCGTTTTGTACTTTGTGCAGAGCATGGGCGCGCGTTTGGGAGCCTTGGCCGCCTTCACCGCCGTTTTCGCCTTCTGCCTGGCACTCTTGACGAACGCAAAGCGGGTGGAGATCTTTGCGGCCACGACAGCGTAAGTTCGACCCTTTTGGGTACGTGCCCTCTCAGACGGTATCGAAGTAACATGTGGCTAGTTTTGCAGCCGTTCAAGTCGTGTTCATCGGGACAAATTCTGCGAACCCAGGAGGTTATGGTTGATCGCTCAGGGGCACTCCACGCGGAGAAATATACGCAATACTATTTAAATCCAGGATAGGCTGTCCAAAAGGAGCGACATGAAATGATAGAGGGAGAACTATTGGCTCGGCCGGAATAGAGAGAGAAAGTCACGAGAGGGGCACAGAACATTGGGAGGACTGAGTGACAAGGCATTTGAAGTATGTGGGTAACCTCGCTGTGTTTTCCCCGGATATTTGGCTGGAACTCGCACAGTATTTTCTCAGCATACTTGTACACTCTCTAATTATCTTTGTCATTTCTTCTTCCTTTTTCGTCTTATCATCAACAGTGATCCACCTCCTGTCCACGCCTCTTCTTCCGACTTCCTTCTTAACCACATCTCTCTCGTCCCCTTGGACCAGTATTTCCACTACACCAGGCTTTCTACCTATATGCTGTCACTATATTCGCACACCTAGGACATTTCTTCTGGAGTTCTGGTCCCAAGATTTACGGGGTTGATGCCGAAAAATTTCCAGCCCGAGATTTTCGTAACGACCATTGGTGCCTGATCACTCTTCCAGCACGAGTGTGTCATGAATGACAAGGCTATTCCTCTTATCCATGACAGCGCCCACATCTTCACTAATAATCAGTGATATTCCGGTCTTTTTGGCACTTGCCCGAGAATCGTGGGCCTATTCCTGACACCGGGCCTCAAGACAACGCGGTGCTTCTGATTCGAGGTCGGGCTCGGCAGGTACTGAACGGTAGGTTTGAAGGCTTCGTAACACTTGGTTATTGACTACGAAGGACTTCCTAACAAACCCGGTGCCTAGGGAACGAGTCGAAATAGTCGTCCCTTCCCATAGTCTTCTTGAATGGGTCAATGGTACAATGGTTTAGCCACGTCCCATTCCAATGTCCCGTTGTCCCATTCCGGATTTGGCTAGCCACGTGACATGGTACTCGGGTCCTTCTTCTGGCACCTGTTCCTCAGTTCAGGGCCATCACCAGGTCCAAAGATGGAGATGGAAAGTGCTCGTGTCGAGATTCCGACGTCGAATTGCCTGTTCGTAGAGCTGTTTCATGGCCCTGCGGTTTCGTTCTCCACCAAGGTACCGAGTATGTAAATATGTACATATTACTCGTAGTCACGATTCTACATACGTATTATTGGCCTTGCTTGGTGGTTACTAGGTAGGCAAAGCTGGCCAACCAGTGTTAGGTACGAGGGGAGGTACGAGGCAGTGCCCAGGTGCCAGAGTCAGTAGTAGTAGTACGAGTACTTGTGCTCGGTGGCCAAGCAGGCCGCGCCACAAGGACAAAAGACTTTCGTCTAAGGCGCGGGCCGGCCGCAGAAAAAGCCAATGGAACACGCGATCGAGGGTGAATTCATCTGGCACCCGATACAAACAACAAACTGACGCGGAGCGCGACGAGACAAGAATTCTCTAGGGGTCAACAAAAATCAGCTCGTCATTGAAATATGTACAGGACTGAGCAGGGGTGGTGCTCCGAACCTATCTCACTACGAGTATGTATTTCCCACTGGCTGGATTGGACCCCCTCTTGAAATGCGAACCCTTGCAGTCGAGTAGAACCTTGCAGCGGGTGCACCTGGTAAAACAGCTCCGGACAATGCATCCCTGACATAATGATCATGCGAGTTAGGTTTGCCCCAGTGCCAACCTACCTACCTTTGTATGTTTTTGTGGCTTACGCCTAGCAAGCAGGGCCTGGCCATTCTGCGACAATCCAGGTCTGGTCTGTTTCAGGATAGCAAGAATTGAGGCAAACGTAATCCCCACAAGGGAGGGTTTATCAATCCGCCCTGGTGGGCTGGCTGTATCCTGGGATTCCTGGCACCCAATCCTCGTAGGGCTCACTCCGAGGGGAAACGAAAAGAGCGAGAGGCATGGCTAACCGGACTAACGCGTTGCCTCGTTTGTGTCAATAATGGCAAATCTTTTTCGTCGATCAGACACTGTTCACTCGCTGGGTTTCTCGAGGGCGGGAATATTTCGTAGCCTGCGGACCACGTGGAGGTGGCAGTGCACGGTTGGGCTTCTGGAGATCTGAACAGTGGAAGATCCCGTGTGGTTTGGGCGGGCGTTGCGTGTAAGAATGGCCCGGGAAATTGCTACTCGGTATCGCAGTGGTGGTATCGATATGGTGCAGGACCTCTATCGATTGCTAGCAGGGCTTGAAGTGGGGGATGGAGATTGACCAGGATGAACACAGAGGGCGAGACGGGCACGATGGGGTACTCGAAGGTGACATTCTGTGATGCATGCTTTTGTGACAGTGACCAAGGTTTGCTGGCTGAAGCAGCGTGGCTTGAACCCGGACAAAACGAAGACCAAACTGGTTTGACCCGAAATCTGACCGCTGTTGATATTCATGTTAGTTTCTCGACCATTCAAGCCAGGTCCGAATAGAGGCGACAGGAGAACAAAGGACGTTGGTAGGGACTAGGTACGCGTGTGGACGTTGCTGCTGAGAGCATCTGTTTAAGGTCCCTGTGGGCAAACCGTTGGCGATGAAGCAACCGAAGAGCGTGGACGAGTAACTAAATATACAACCTCTGCGGCGCGTTCCTGTTGGGTGGGATTTGACTTTGAATGATTTGACGTGGTGGTGAGTGGTGCGCGCTTCTTACCGCTATCTATGACTTCCTGCGCTGCGCTGCGGTGCGTGTGGGTGGATATCATCGAGCAGGGAACACACAGCAAGATTCCCTACAGACTCAAAGCTGCGTCAACCCCCGTGTGTTTGTTCCTTCTTCAGATCTTTCTTCCTGTGCTCCGTCCTCTGTGCTATGCCCATTCACGCCTTGGCCCCAACCCTGCAAGCCAACGGCCCTCGCCTCCAAAGGGGCTGCTGCTGCCGTGACAATCTTGGTCTCCTGTGACTGGTGTTTGGTGACTGGCTGCTGCGCGCCTGTCGCTTGTCCCTGTTTGGAAAAAGAGAAAGAGAAAGGCGAGAAATATCACACGCCTGCGTCACTCATTGGTGCTTTGCCTGCTTCTTCGCCCTGATTCACAGGAACTAACAGAACTAGAGGCCCCTCGAAGCCTTGGATGAAGCCTGGAACCTCGCGCCCTACACCAAAAAGCCCTGCGACTGAGAACTTTTGAAGCCTGAAGGCCAGAAAGCCTGGCGTCAGAAGGTCGGGCTCGAAAGCTAAGCTGAGCGCTCAACAGCAGTTCAATTCCCCATCTGGCTGGCATCTGCCGCTCCCGCTGGCTTTCAGTTAAACCTTTAGCACCCTTAGTGGCTCGGGGCTAGCCATCTGGCGCCCATCTGGCACCCACCTGGCACTCTGCTGCCCGCTTTTCTTGGTTTCCTCCAACTGCCCAGTGCGCAGTCCTGCAGTCTGCGTCCGCAGTCCACAGTCCAGTCCACATTGTAGTGGTGGTGGTGGTGGTGGCGGCACCTGCACCGAATCCGCAACCTGCACTTGCAACTTGCACCTGCCAACCTTCACGTTGACTTGAGAGCCATGGACAACGTCCATAACACGACCTCCTCCAACTTGACCACTTTCACCTCTTCCAAGCGACGTCGAAATACTCTGACCAAGAATCATCCCCCTTCCGCGTTCCCCTCCAAGGGCTCGCTACGCAAACAACAGTCGTCTGCCGCACTTCAACGGGCGCCGTCAGCTCCATCCCCATACCCTCGCAGTCACGACGCCTCACTGTCTTCCCGCGATTCTCATCAGAGAACCCAATCCAGCGCGTTTGCTTCTTCCACATCCTCGCTTGAACACAGCAGCGGCGCACCGTCTCCCATCGTTCCTCCCACAAACTTCTTCGCGTCGTCAGTCAGCGGCTACAAGCCACCACAACACCTCCCGCTCACACCCCAACCTTCAGATGACCGTCACAAGGACTTGATCGGAGCGCCATTTGACGCCTCGGGTCTTTTGTCTTCTTTTCAAGTTGCCGGTATGAACGACAATCAGAATGCTGGTGCTCAATCATCATATCCCCCACCGTTAACCCAAACCCACACAAGCCCCGACCTTCGATCTCACCCGCTACGGAATTCGCAGACATTTGGGCCTGGAATGGTGGCTATGATGGAAGTAACACCTCCTAAATCGGAAAATGGCACGCTCAGTCCCAAGCGCTTCTCAGGTGACGGGCACACCAAACCAGCTGGGCCTTTTCGCAAGAAGAGTGGCTTTTCTAGTTTCGTCAACAATATGCTGGGATCCCCAAGGACAATCAAAATCTCCGCGCCAGAAAACCCCTTGCACATGATACACGTTGGCTACGACAACCAGACCGGGCAGTTTACGGTAAGTCGGCAGCCAATTGAGCAGATCATCCATCCGTCCATTGATTAGAATCACCCCCCATTCTGGAGTCTGACAAGCTGATGCGTTCCAAACAGGGACTACCTGCAGAATGGCAGAGGGTCTTAGCCGACAGTGGCATCACCAAGACTGAGCAAGACCAGAATCCACAGATGATGGTCAACATTGTCGAGACGTACAAGAACAATCTGGGCGGCAACGACGATGGGGTGTGGCAGAAGTTTGACCACGCCAAACTCTCTGACTCCCCTCAAAGCAGCAACAGCAGCTACCAGAGCCCAGTGACGCCCATCATTGGCTCGAGCGTTGCTTCGTACTCCCCCATGACTGGTGTGATATCACCCCCAGCCAGTCCTCGATTTCCCCAGAACCACGAGGGCAGCTTCGAAAACCCTCGCGCTCCACCACCCGTACCGAAAGGCCCTCCCGCTAGTGCAATGGCAGGTATGAAACCGAGTCAATCACCAATTATTATGATGCCAAATCGACCTGCTCCCAAACCACCTGTACAGAGCCTGAGAGATATGGCGCCCTCCCGGCCTGCGCCTCCTCCTCCTATAACCCGAGATCTACCGCTACGGACAGTTCAGG